ATCACTCAAATTTCATCCAGAAGCCTCTGGAGTGGGCTTTGTATCCAAAGCCTCCTGACCCGAGGCAAGAGTACCAGCACTGGGTTGCAGCTGACACAGTGTAATGTCAGTGGAAGATGAGTTGGTGCCTCAGATTGAGCCTGCATTTTCACAAGGAGTGATTTGATTTCCCTTTTCTAATGCTGACTGATCTGCTCACTGTTTCCAGCAGTTCCTAAATGTTCCAGTATCCCTTTACCCAGCAAGAGCAGCAGTGGGAAAACTGCACTGTGCTCACTGCTGCAGTGTCCTGCCAAAAAAAAGAGGAAATTCCCTCAGGATTTACTCTTCCATTGTAACTTTCCACACTGCCCTGACAAATCAGTCACCATTCCTTCATGGTCCCTGGGTCCCGCTCCTAGGATTACTCAGCAGATAGCATCATTGGCTGCTATGGTTCAAGGAGCCAACGAAATACCACAAGGGCAAGTGGGGATGAGTAACTAAATTCTGGCCTACCGTATCCTGAGAATGAAATAGAAAAAAAAACTCTCCTGCATTTTCACAGCTAACCTACAAGAGAGTTGATCTGACTAACCTGCTGTCATGCGTTTACCAGACATGACGACAGCATAACTATTGAGGTCAATTAACTTGTAATATAGCAGTGCTGTGTCGACTGGGAGTGCATGTTTGATCAGCAGAGGCAGACGACACACACACACACACACACACACACACATACACAGACACACATACACACACACACAATCTTGAGTTTCCCCACACAGAGCTTCACGTGTGTTTTCTTCTCTTCCTCTCATCTCCTTTCCCCTGCCTGTAGGTCTTGGCTCTCTCTGGGATCCCATGTCAGTTGTCTGTGATCCCTCCAAACACAGACAGTGTGCATATGGCTTCTGTTCGAGCAGGTGATTGAGAAAGTTGATAAATTGACTTCGTTGATCTGAAGGGGGAAAGGAGGGCCCTCTTGTGGAGCAGTGGTAGTGTCCCTACCCCTGGACCAGGAGGCCCGGTTTGAAGTCACACCTATTCCATAAGTGTGTAATAACATCTCTGAACAGGTTGATTAGAAAATTAGATAAATAAAACAAAATTTCAAAGGGAAAAGGCAGGACAGGGTACACAGAAGGGGCTATAAGACTGAGTAGTTGGTAAACTCTTTTATCCACAAAGAAAGGTGTCTTGGCCAGTCAGTGAGACAGAAGCATGGATCTCATAGAATCCCTACAGTGTGGAAACAGGCCCTTTGGCCCAACAAGTCCACACTGACTCTCAGAGCATCCCACCCAGACCCATCCCCCTATAACCCACCCCTGAACACTATAGGCAATTTCGCATGGCCAAACCACCTAACCTGCACATCTTTGGACTGTGCGAGAAAACCAGAGCACGCGGAGGAAACCCACACAGACTCGGGGAGAATGTGCAAACTCCTCACAGACCGTCGCCCGAGGGTGGAATCAAACCCGTATCCTTGGTGCTGTGAGGTAGCAGTGCTAACCACTGAGCCACCGTGGATCTGAATTAACATTGTTAGTAGAGAATAGTTTCCCAAAGATGAAGATTCGGAACTAAGAAATCTTTTCAGACAAAAGTTTGTAAAATCATTGGAGTTAGCTTGGAGAAGAATGACAGAGACCAGGTGGAATTATTGCATATTGTAAAGCTGAGCCAGGTACCAAAGGAAAATGAAGTAAAAATGTGGATTTAGGTTACATCTTTCCAAAAGAAAAGCAAGGTATGGCCTGTGCATTGTCTGTTTCTACTCGAAGCAGGATATGGTGTGAACTATTCTCAGAGCCAGAGGATCAACAATTGGATAGTCAAGAAATTTAGGAATTCTGTTTAAATTTATGGAGAAAATCTTCAACTTTCACCCGGGATTCCTGAATTAATGGATGCTCTTTTCCTCTGTTTTTCAGGTGGATGGAGGCATGTTTGGATGAGGAGCTGCCTCCAACAACAGAGCTTGAGGAAGGGCTGAGGAATGGAGTGTATCTTGCCAAACTTGGCAACTTCTTTAGCCCAAAGGTAGTGTCGCTCAAAAAGATCTACGACTGTGAACAGACCAGATATAAGGTAATCTCAACTGCACGTGAACGGAAGTGGGGGAGGGGGTTAAGGAATTGCAGCAGAAACATATGGATACAGACAGAGGGTGCCATAGGCAAGGCTCTGGGGAATAATTTCAATTGAGCTTGTATGGCTTGGGCTTTGTTTACTGGCTTTTTCTCCTACTGTAATGGAATTTCCACTTGCCAGGGTGAACCCAAAGCTAAGGGCCATAAATGCAAGGCAGTCGCTAACAAATTCAATTGGGAATTTAGGACCAACGTCTTCACTAAGAGAAATTGGTCCTTGCTACCACACAGGGTAGATGGTTTCAGTGCATTGAAGGGGAAGCTGGATAAACACTTGAGAGAGAAGGGAATAACACAGTGTGGAGCTGGAGGAACACAGCAGGCCAGGCAGCATCGGAGGAGCAGGAAAGCTGATGTTTCCAGTCAGGAATAGATGGATATATCGATAGGGTGAGTCAAAGATGGGCGGGCGGAGGCTTGTGTGGAGAAAAATGCTGGCATGGACTTGGTGGCCAGAATGCTCTCTATCTGCTGTTGTTAACCAGTGACAATCCAGGATGAGCAGGATACTGTGGGTGATCAGCATGCTGGCCTTCTGAAGAAGTGAAAAGGCGAGGTTTCCTTGATGTGTTTTCTCTTTTCCCATCGAAACACAGGCAACCGGGCTCCATTTCCGCCACACAGACAACACCATCCAGTGGTTTAACGCAATGTCGAACATTGGGCTGCCGAAGGTGAGTCTTTGTTTTATTCATAGACTGACCATTCTCTGCTCCCATCTTGTTTCTTCACGAATGAAGCAGGCAATGACAATGGAAGGTTAATAAACTCAGTCATTACCTCAGTAGAGAAAACAATAGTTACAGCAAAGGCTGCAGGATACAAGTACAGATATTTCAATCTGTCCCTTTTACTGATATTGGTTCCCATTATTTTCTGCCTTTTGACCCAGATTTCCAACATTGGCCGATTTAAAGTTTTGAACCTCTTCCTGTTTGCTCTCCTTCACTTGTTCTTTCCAGAAAAATATTCATGGAAACTTCCTGCCCTGGCATTCACTCCACGCCCTGAGCTGCTAGGATTCCATCAGACCACAGTAACCTTGGCTTCAGCCCAGCAGTCACAATTCAACCTCAAATTGGCTTTATTTGTTCTGAGGAAGGGTCACCGGTCCCAAAATGTTAACTCTGATTTTTCTTCACAGATGCTGCCAGAACTGCTGAGCTTTTTCAGCAACTTCTGTTTTTGTTCCTGATTTACAGCATCCACAGTTCTTTTGGTTTTTATTTCATGTCTTTCCTGATCCCTGGAATGGCTGAGATTCATATTACATTTGATGTTTAGTGACTGATCCATGAGAGTTCAGTGCTTGTGGTGATTGTTTTGGCTGCTGCTCTCTGGATTTCAGTCTTTAGTGTGTCTGAGTCCTGTTATTTCTGCTTTGCTAATTTGCTCTTATGTCTGTAAAAGTTGTTTGCTTTAAGCAACTAATACCATTCATATACAACTCAACTACCTGATGGTAAACTGTAATTCAATGTCTGAGAACAGTCCATTCACAACCTCTGTACCTTCCTCAACCCTGAGATGGGTTTCTGGCTCCACTTTCTCTTTAATAGTAAGACTGCTGACTTCCACATTTCAAACATCGCCCATCTCTGCTCCTACCTCAGTCTATGCCTCTGTTACTTCCACACGTAACTATTTTACTCTGCTCCCAGCCGTCATCTCATCTTCCACCCTCTGTAAACTTAACCTCGTGCAAACCTCTGCTGTCCACATCCTAATTTGCACCTGTTGGTGCATCATTCCTGTGCTTAGTGACCTACAGTGCCTCCTGTTGTGAAAATATTCAGTTTTAGAACTTGTGTTGATTCTTTGCAAATCCCAAATCCCTCATGGCCTCATCCCACCCTCACTCTGTACTTTTCTCCAGCCTTGAAACCCTTTGCAATGGTGACCTTTCTGTATGGTAGCTTGTGCATTCCCCACACACCTAAGTCATTATAACTAACTGTATGTTTCTGATTCTTGGGCAGAAAATTCCACAGCTATTTGTGAGACTCTGACGTTTGAAGATGGTTTTAGTATTTGTGACATAATGTAGACAGGCAGGTTAAAGGCGACAGTTGGGATTTGTATATACTAATGGCTGTTCTGTGGAATCGTTAAAGGTGTGTTGAAGAGCCCAAAATCTAATAACATCGATAGGGTGTACAGTACAATGGGGAGAGTGTTAGCAGAGATCAGAGTGAAGCAGGAAGTGAACACTGTGGAAGGTCTGCCAACTGACCCCCTGTAGCATTGCTAATGCAATCTGAATTATTCTCCAAAGACAGCAAACCCTGGGTGAGGTCAGTGAAAGTTTAATTGTATTTCAGGTGAAGGATCAGGTTGGCATGACTAGCTTTCCTATTTTTGGACAAAGTCAGTCCAAGGTTACAGAAATCCTGATTGCCCTGTCTGTTTACATTCTGAAATATTTATACACTTATGAGTGTTTGGGGAAATTTGCATTTGTGATCAGTGAAGCGTTTTATTAATTATACCATGTTTCTTTTCACATAGATCTTTTACCCTGAAACTACAGACATCTATGACCGTAAGAACATGCCCCGATGTATCTACTGTATCCACGCTCTCAGGTATTGCTTCCAGATGCTAGCATCGAGGTCCCAGTCTGACTATTCAACCAGAGGAGCAGCACTCTGCACTGTTGTTGCTTCCAGTGCTTCCCAGTGCTGATGGGTTTTAGTAACAGGCTGTAGTCCAGGCATGCTTGGCTGATTACACTGTTTACATTGCTGCAGCTCAGACCAGCTTCCTGGAACAGAATGGGCACCACTGTACTCATTGAGGGTGGGGGGAGTGGCCAAGCAGCAGGAAGAGTGCGACGCGAGAAGACTAGCAGGAGCAGTATCTGGGTGGGCTCAGAGTCATTGTGCTCTTTGCCTTTGATAGAGGAAGCCCCGGAACAGTTAGAAAGGTCGAATGATGAGCTCACTCATCAGGTTCCTTAAGTCGAGTCCCTGAGCTGAAAGCACCCTTCAAGGCTGTTTGGAATGTAGCGTAAAGCAGAGAGTTTCTGTTTGAAGCGAGCTGCTGCGGTAATGAGTCAGTATATAAAGGAACAGTGTGTCCTCATCCAGCTATTTCCTGTATTGGGGCTGAGTGTTTCCCAGTGCTGCAGCTATTCCTGACCCAGGTCACATTGTTCAGATCTGGAAATACCAGGCTGATTAGCCAAATGGATGTTTGTGCTGTCTCTCAAATGGGGTTACACCAAGGACAATCTCTGGCCAAGAGCAGTGGCAGGCGAGGACTCTTGTGCCTTCCTGTTGTTATAAATCTCTGATTCTCCCATTCACTCTGTCTGTCTAGCTCAGGTTTGCTGCCCTGTGCTTCAGAGGGAAGGACACAACAACAACTTGCATTTGTCTAGCCCCTTTGGCATAGTAAAATATACCAAGGTGCTTCTAAAGAGAATTACCAAACAGAAGTTGGCACTGAGCAGCAGGAAGAATATTATGCCAGATGACTCGAGGAGCATCTTTTTAATTAATCCATTCATGGGACATGGGTGTCGTTGGCTGGGGCCAGCATTTATTGCCCGTTCCTAGTTGCCCCTTGAGAAGGTGGGGGTGAGCTGCCTTCTTGACCTGCTGCAGATTGACCCACAATGCCCTGAGGGAGGGAATTCCAGGATTTTGACCCTGCGACAGGCAAGGAACGGTGAAATATTTACTCAAGGAGGAGAGAGAGAGGCAGAGAGGTTTCAGGAAGCTGAAACGTGTCCATCAATGAAAATCACGATGCAGTCCAGGTCAGAATTAGATAAGTATAGGTATCTGTATCTCAGAGTGGGGTAGGGGCTGGAGGGGGAGTGGGGTTACAGAGATAGGTAGGGGCTGTAGGGGCTGGAGGAAGTGACAGAGAAAGGGAGGAGTGTAGGGGATGGAGGGAGTTACAGAGATAGGGAGGGAGGGGATGCAGAGGTTTACAGAGATAGGGATGTGTTAGGGGCTGGAAGAGATTATGGAGATAGGGAGGGGTGTAGGGGCTGGAGGAGGTGACAGTGATAGGGTGGGGTGTAGGGGCTGGAGGAGGTGACAGAGATGGGGAGAGGGTGAGGGGCTGGAGGAGGTGGCAGAGATAGGGAGGGGGTGTAGGGGCTGGACAAAGTGACAGAGATAAGGAGGAGTGTAGAGAACGGAGAGGGTTACAGAGATAGGGAGGGGGTCGGGGCTGGAGAGGGTTACAGAGATAGGGAGGGGCTGTAGGGGATGGAGGAGGTTACAAAGATTGAGATGGGGTGTTGGGGCTGGAGGGGGTTACAGAGATAGGAAGTTGGGGCTAGAGGAGGTTACAGATAGGGGCAGCTGAAGCTGTGGGGGCATAGGAAACCAACAATGAGAAGTTTTAATATTCAGATTTAGGATAAGCAAGTTCCCATGTAACTAAATGGAAATTGGTACAAATGTTTACAGTAATCTGACTGAATAATCCAGCTACTCATGCTCTGGGAATGTGTTCAAATCTAACCATGGCAGCTGATGGAATTGAAATCCAATTAATGAATCAGGAATTGATGTAAAATCCCATCTGGTTCCTTAATGTCCTTTAGGAGGGGAATCTGCCATCCTTTCCCAGGCTGGTCTCTGTGTGACTATAGGTGTAATAGTCTGGTTACATCTTAACCGACCAGTAAGCCATTCAGCTCCAGGGCAATTAGTGATGGGCAGTTAGATACCCATATCCCATGAAACAATAGAGAGAAACCAAATTAGAATATAGCCCAGACATGGGCTCAACTTCCCAGAAGAATGAGAGACCATTCATCACACCAGAAAGATCTGCCCCCAATCTTTCGGACATATCACCAAGCTGTAGATTTGCTAGTTAGTGGAATTCTTTTCTCTCTATCCAGTCTATCAATGCCTCTAATATCTTGATGTTTGTGTAATCTCCCCTTGTCATTTGATCACTGTAATCTCAGTCTCGGTCTCTCTCTCTCTCTCTCTGTCTGTCAGTCGATGTCTCTCTCTCTGTCTGTCAGTCGATGTCTCTCTCTCTGTCTGTCTGTTGCTGTCTCTCTCTCTGTCTGTCTGTCTGTGTCTGTCTCTCTCTCTCTCTCTCCCTCACTGTCTCTCCCTCTGTCTCACTCTCTCTCTCTCTTACTGTCTCTCTCTCTCTCTCCTTCTCTCCTGAACAGTAGCCAGCATGGCACTGAGGCCAGCAGTAGACCATTGAGGACGGGGTTGGCAGGGGGTCGGTGGACAGAGTAGGAAGGTGTTACTGTCCCCTGGACTGTGCTTGGATTTTCATTGATTTACCCTCTCCATTCCTTTGGCAGTTTGTACCTCTTTAAACTGGGATTGGCACCACAGATTCAGGATCTTTATGGAAAAGTTGCTTTCACAGGTGAGGATGGTTCAAATTAATCAGTTGTCATGACCACTCAAAATCTTTCTCAAATACCACGCATAATCAACACTGCATTGCTCGTGTAACTGTGAATTGTGTGTCTGTGCATACACATGGCTGGTAAACAGGGTGTGTTAGACCGAATTCTGAGGAAGGGTCGCCGGACCTGAAACGTTAACTCTGTTTTCTCCTCCACAGATGCTGCCAGACCTGCTGAGCTTTTCTAGCAACTTTGTTTTTGTTGTTGTGTTAGACCAAGGGGTGTTGATGTACCCGGGGATGGTCGACATAGTGATTTCAGAGATCTGTGATGAGCTGTGCATGTGCCCACTGTGTGTGATGTGTTGGGCTTATGGGTAACTGCACCCATTCATTAGGGTGGAGAGTTGGATTTCAGTTTTGGTTCCCAGAGAGAGGCAGTGCATGTGGATTCGGCCACGTGTGTGCCAGGCAGTGTTGGTACCCGCTGGATTTACTGACCACACCAAAGATTTCTGAGTGTTTACTGGGGAGATCCAGCACCCTAGAGGGAGGGCAGCAGGATGGAGTTTATTGTTCTGGGGGTTCTGGTCAGCTGGTCTCAAACGGGAACATGTTTTGGTTGATTCTCCCAGAACAGACTGCAGTCTGTGAAACTGGGTCCACAGTGAGTGTGTGGAAGGAAAGGGCTTTTCCTATTATCCCAGCCCCACATCATTGGGGCACACACACAGCCTGAGGTTACAAGAGAATATGAGAACTTGTCTATATGAGAACCCCAGGAGAGAGAGAGGGGGCGGGGGGGGGAGTCATGTGCCTGGTGAGGTTCAGTGCAGTATTTGATGGAAGACTATGTTTTTAAATCTTTTTTATCAACTGTCCCTCAGAATGTGAGTGGGGAGCATGAATAGAACACCAAATGCCCAGCTTTTGCTGTGACTCCAAGCTAGAATACTCTTGACCCTAGGTCTGAAAGTTGTGGATTGAAACTCCATTCCAGAAACGTGAGTGTGCTGACTCCCAGTGCTACACTGAGGGAGTTCTGCACTATTTGGAAGTTCAAACTTTCACACGAGACATTAAAGTTAAGACTCCATCTGCCTCCTCAGGAAATCAGGGGAGTTCTCTCCACTGGCCTGGGCCGGTACTTTACACCGTGACCAATGGATTACCTACTCCATATGGGAGACCAAGTTGAGCACATTTTCCACACTCTTCCTGACGTGCAGGAAAACTGAGGCCAATTTGATCCCACACCATCAGGTGTGGTAGATAATTCTTTAAAGTTTGCATTGCATACAGAGATGATGGTTAAAAAGGCGTTTGGCATGCTTGCCTTCATTGCTCAGTCCTTTGAGTAAAGGAGTTGGGATGTTATGTTGAGGTGGTACAGGACATTGGTGAGGTCTCTTCCAGAATACTGTGTCCAGTTCTGGTCACCCAGTTATAGGAAGGATATTATCAAGCTGGAGAGTTTCAGAATAGCTTTACCAGGATGTTGCCGGGTATGGAAGGTTTGAGTTATAAAGAAAGGCTGGATAGGCTGGGATTTTTTTCACTGGAGCGTAGGAGATTGAGAGGTGATCTGGTAGAAGTTTATAAAATAATGAGAGATAGAGATAAAGTTGATGATTGTTGTCTTTTCCCTAGGATGGGACATTTCAAGACTAGGGGGCACATTTTTGAGCTGAGAGGAAAGAGATTTTAATACGACATGAGACAATTTTTTTACACGGAGGGTGGTTTGCGTGTGGAATAAATTTCCTGATGAAGTGGTGGTCGCGGGTGCAGTTGTACGGATGTATGAATAGGAGGTTTGGAGGGATATGGGCCAGGAGCAGGCAGGTGGGACTAGTTTAGTTTGGGATTGTGTTCAGCATGGACTGGTTAGACCGAAGGGTCTGTTTCCGTGCTGTATGACTCTATGATTCTATAAACAGGAACCCCTGTATAAAAGGAAAGCAGGGGAGAACAGGGAGGTTAGAGAGCTCCAGGCGAACAGCTACCATCAGCATGGGCACCAATAGGCTGAATGGCTGCCCTGTCTCCCTGCTGAAATTGCAGTGGTTCCAGACAATTGGGGAGCAATCAAAGGGGAGCTGACCTCACCTACTGGGCAAGAAGATTGAGCTGACAGGATTCAGAACTGGTCTCACCTATTGGTTGCTACAATTGAACTGATGGGCTTCTGCACTGAGAAGAGGAAATTTCAGCTCGTGTTTCCACACCCAATTACGGTTCAGTGTTCCTTTGATGTCTGAAATACAGACAGTCCACATTTAGGGTGGGGAGGAGAATGGCATCTGACTGGGTCACAGAGGCATCACCATCCTCTATATGCACAGTCCAGACCCACAGGAGACTATTTAGGAAGGTTACCAAGAGGCAGGCAGCACATTTTAAGGAGCTGAGTACTATTCAAATGGAGGAAGCTACAGAAGAGGGATTTGGGAGTCCTTATGCGTGAATCACAAAAGGCTCAGGTCCCGGCTTCAGCAGATAGTAGGGAAGACAAATGAAATGTTAACCTCTATCACAAGATGATTGGAATATAAAAGTAGGCAGATTTCCCTAAAACTATACAAGGCACTAGTCAGGCCACAGCTGAAATACTGTGAATACCTTTGGGCCTCTTATTTAGGCAAAGATGTACTGGCATTAGGGACAGTCCAGGGATGGTTCACGAGGTTGATCCTGGGTATTGAGGGACTGTCTTATGAGGAGAGGTTAAGAAGATTGAGCCTGTACTCATCGGAGTTTGTAAGAATGAAAGACGACCTTATTGAAGCATGGAGGATTCCTAAGGGACTTGACAGCAGGTGTGGAAAGATTGTTTCCCTTTTGGGAGAGTCTGGGACAAGGGGGTATTACCTCAGGGTAAGGAGTTACCCATTGAAGACAGAGATGAGGAGGAATGTCTTCTCTGAGGGTAGTGAATCTATGGAATTTTTACCGCAGAGGGGTCTTGAGGCTGAGTTGTTCACGATATTCAAGGCTGAGGTTTTTAATCAGGAAGTGAATTAAGACTTATGAGGAAAAGGCAGGAAAGTCTAGTTGAGGATTATCAGATCAGCCATGATCTCATTTAATTGTGGAGCTGACTGGATGGGCTGAGTGGCCTGTTTCTGTTCCTACATCTTATGCGGTGTAACTCAGTGTAACGACAGTGTTCTGTCGGCACCTTCAAACGAGCAGCTAGGAAATAAATAATCTGGTTGATTTTCTGAGTCTGCTGGGGCAGTTAACAGAACTGCTATCTAATCAGTTGTTTCCAGTGCACAAACCTTAATCGAGCCTGAGTTTGGCAGCAAAGGTGCAAAATGCAGATAACAGTTAGTAAACACCAAGTCTGAGAGTGCTCTCAAATCTTGCACCAGAGCCAATCAATCCCATTGTCAAAGCTGTATACAGAATAGGTTCTACAAAGCCAAACACAACAAATGACATGGTGGGGACTTGGAGCTTCCTGGAAACTAATTTTATGTAAATCTATTAAATCATAAATGAACAAACCTGTTTGTCAAACTTGACCCTTCTGCCAACTGTGCAATGTCCCAATCTTTGCTTCTACTCTTTAAGGGAAGTCCTGTTATTCAGGGAGTTGGGAATATTCCAAACAGCCAAGTCCGGGGAAAGAGGGAAACAAGAGATTTTAGGGAGTGAGTGAATTTTCAATCATAAATTTCTCTGGGAGAAGGAAAAACCCTTTAGAGGACAAAATCATGAGCATACTTTCTTTCCAGTCCACCCTTGTCACTTAGCTGCTCCAATAACAAGGCAGCTATTTCCATGAGTCCCCAGTAACTCCACTTCTTCCATTTGGATCATTCAGAGGCAGAGTTGCCAAGACAGTACAGGATGGGAGAATGGGTGAAGGGACTGGGTCCAAGAAGGGGACAGGAGGGCAGGGAAGGAGAGAGCTGATGGGTGGAGGACTGGGATGAATAAAGGGGTTACAGTTCCTAACTGTTGTTTTTCTCCTGTCGGTTTCAGAGGAGGAGATTAACAACATGAAGACTGAGCTGGAGAAATACGGGATTCAGATGCCAGCGTTCAGTAAGATCGGGGGAATTTTGGCCAATGAACTGTCAGTGGATGAAGCTGCCTGTAAGTGATGTTGGGCTTTGGATCCTGAGAGTTGGCGTCCTGATGCATTTTCGGTCTGTCGTCCTGACTATATTTCTCAATCCCTGTTGGGTCTGCTGTTCAACAAATAACAGGGCTGCCCTTAGGGGGAGCGGGTGAGGGTCAAAATTGGTTGTCATTCCAAATGGCGAAGCTTTACCTCGTGTTGGGTGAGGTGTGTATTGATGCTGGCCAAGGAGGGGATTGATGCGAACTGTGACACTCTCAATGTCCAGCTCTCCCACACCAAGTGGCCCCTTGTTGGCTGATGTTTGTTGAGTCAGATCTCAACCACCCTGCAACAACCTTGTGATGATGTCACCGAGCTGCTCCTCACTGGGTATAAATAACACAGTGTGGGCAGAGATGAGAAAGGAGAGAGAACACATGCGGAGCTGGACAGCAATGTGAATGTTAGAAACACATCCAGAGAAGCTTGGAGAATAAATCCATTGGCATTAGATGGTAGAATTTTTGGAAAAGTCAATAAAGTAACAGGTTAGCGCCTGGTATATTGTACCTTTTGAGTTTTAGTATGTAATAAATAATGTCATAAAGAAGCCCAAACCCAAAGACAGTTCTTGATCTTGTCTTCTCCTTGACTAGTTGGCGTTGAACCCAAATTCATGGATGTGGGCAGCAAACTACACATCAAAAAATCAAAATTTCTGTGGAATTGTACTCTGTGAGAGGTAGCACATTGACAAAATGTCCTGAGGTGCTTCATGGACATGTACACCAAACAAATCTAACACTAAGCCGTATCACAAAATGTAAGAGCAGATGATCAAAACTCGGTTCAGCTGTGACGTTTTAAGGAGCATCTTGAAGGAGGACAGAAAGAGGAAGGTGGAGTGGGTTAAGGAGGGAATTCCAGAGCTCAGAGCCCAGGCAGCTAAAGGCACAGTCACTAGTGGCGGGATGATGAATATTGGGGATGCTCAAGAGACCAGAACTGGAGGAGCATCAATATCTCGGTGGGTTGTGGGCCTGAAGGAGGTTGCAGAAATAGTATGGGAATGTGACCAGGGAGGAATTTGAATGAAAGCACGAGATAGTCAGTGAATAGGGGAAAGGACTGATTTAGGGGAGGCAAAACTCTAACTGTGTTTTTTAAAAGCCAATATTCTGCTAATTAATGTTACCTGCCCTTTCCCACAGTGCACGCTGCTGTCATTGCCATCAATGATGCCATTGAGAAGGGTGTTCCAGCAGAGACTCTGGCAGCGATGAAGAACCCCAATGCCATGCTGGTCAATTTAGACCCAACACAAAGTGTGCAGTATCAGGACACCCTGAGTGCTGCCAAGCATGAGAAAATGGCAAACGCCCGAAATAAGGTGGGCATTCATCAAGTAAGAGGGTAAAGGGTGTCTCTGTAAAAAGGATGTATGCGGACAGTATGTATTGATGTGGGACTGATGTGGGCTTGTTCGCTGCTTGGGAGATTGACTTACCTTGTGTTATTGTTCCCTATTAATCAGAACCGTGCAGTTCCATAATAGGAGCTGAAGGAGATGCTGGAGGATTCTCTTATACTTATCTCCACCTTTCTTTACCGCAGTCAGCACTTGATATTGTTCACTACCTGAACCTTGTTGTTTTTGTCATTCATTCTTGGAACGTGTGTGTTGCTGGCAAGAGCAGAATTCATTGCCTGTCCTTAAGTGCCCTGGAGAAGGTGGTGCTGAGATGCTGCTTTGAACCACTGTGGTTCATGGCCTCAGTGTTCCCACAGTGTCTCACCACTCCAGTTCAGATGGTGTTTAAGAATAAACCACATTGCTGTGGCTGTAACTGGGGAAGGACAGTAGATATCCTTCCCTGAGAGCAATGAGAGATCCAGATCCAGGCTGAGCGGAGGGGTTCTGTGTTGTGATGTAGAACATCCTGTGCCCAGCACATGTTGAATGAATGGCTTTTTGTGGACAGGTGGCAGAGGGGGTGGTGGCTTCCAGAAAAGATCAAGGAATTGAAATGACTCCTGTGATTCCATTTTATATTTTTTAAGGATGTGCCTGGGAGCCCTCAGGAAGAGAGAGACGTTTATGAAGAGCTCCTCACACAAGCTGAGATCCAGGGAAATGTAAATAAAGTCAACTGTAAGTTTGAGAAATCTCACAACTTGTTCACAATGTGAAGTCTCAGGTATAGTGGCAGTTGTGCTAAGTAAGTCAAGGCAATGACTCCTGGCTGCTGTGTGCAGGTGGGTCTTAGTGGACTGTGATGCACTTACAGTTGAACAGCTTGGATTCTCCCATTGACGAATAACAGAGTTTGATATGTGCCACTGGAGCCCATGCTTCAGCAGTGTTGGCACCTTTGATGAAATGGACAGCAAAGCAGAAACAGCTTCAATTGATTCATCCCTATTTATTACCCCTCCCCAAGCTTAAGTACACATCCCGCTAGTGGTAGACAAAAGCTGTTTTGAACGTCTCTGAGCGAGTGAACATTGGCCATGACTCAAATCACTAGATTCTAGGTTCAAATCCCACTCCCAAAGTTTGAGCACACAAATCGAGGCTGACATTCCAGTGACCCACTGAGGGAACCCTGCCCTGCCAGATGTACTGTCATTCAGATGTGACTTCAAACTGAGGCCCTTCTCAGGTGGGTGTAAAAGATCCTGTAGTCTGTATTTCGAAAAAGAGTGAAAGAGTTCTCCATGGTCAATAATTATCCTTCAACCCAATATCGCACCAAGGCCAACTCTCAGATCATATTTGCTGTGTGTGTGTGTGTGTGTGTATGTGTGTGTGTGTGTGTGTCTGTGTGAGAGAGAGAGACCCTGTCTGTGTCTGTGTGTGTGTGTTTGTGGGAGCTTGCTGTGTGAATGTTAGCTGTGGCATTTCCTACATTACTAAAGCAACAACACTTCAGAAATCTGTATGGTATTGCGGTTGTAAAGAGCTTTAAGATTATAAGTGAAAAGTGCTTTATAAATGTCAGTCTTCTGTTTCCTGCATCAACTTTAACCTCAAAGCCAGCCAGTCTGACTAACCCTGATGTATGCCGCTGGGCACATTTTTCTGGAAGAGATGCCCTGCTCTGTGTCTGATCAGGTTTCCCTGGGCATTAATATAAACACATGGCCTGTCAGATTTGTTGTCCCAACCACATACAACTGAACTCCGATAAAGAGTCATTGCCTTCAAAACATTAACTCTACTTTCATCCCACAGATGTTGCCAGACCTGCTGAGTTTCTCCAGCAATTTCTGTTTTTCTTTCAGCTGTTACTACATGTTTTGATATTACTTGGAAGTTTCCACTCAGTTTACTTTCTCCCTCTGTTAGGTTATTGTCGTCTTTAGTCAGTTTTTATAACTTGCCCAATCCTCTGTTTACTAATTAAAGCATTGTATTTTTCCACTTTCAATTTGATACTATGCTTAATTTTCCTGAATAACCATGGTCAGTTTATCCCTTTCCTAGAATCCCCCTTTCTCACTGGGATATATCTTTGTGTGAGTTATGAACTGTTTTCTTAAATATCTGCAAGTGGCCCTCAATCATCGTTTCTATTAAACTCCTTTCTCAGTCCTCTCAAGCCAACTCGACCCTCGTTCCTTTGTAATTACCCTTATTTAAGTTTAGCACAGTTGTTTCTGACCCAGGTTTCTCACTCTTAAGCTACATTCTAAATGCTAAATTACCATGCTATGGTGACTATTTCGTGGGGGACCTTTTATTCCAAAATCATTTAATAAACCTGCCTCATTGCACATTACCAGATCCAAAACAGCCTGGTCCCTGGTTGGATACAATATATTGTTTTAGGAAACTGTCCCTAATACTTCACCAAGATCCATGACTCTCTTACTGTTCAACACTGGTGGTAGCAAAGATTTGTTGTTGGCTAATTTCTCCCTCCTGTCACCAGTGGATGCACCATCAAGAGGCAACACAAGCCTTTGAACGTGTAGAAGAGTGATAATTGTTTGACAGACTCATGGTGGCCATTCCAAGTGTAGTTAGTTCTGACTATGGTCACCAACTCTCATCAATCATCTTCCTGAAGGTAGCACCATGTCACCTTCCACTCCTGCAGCCCCTCTGTCCCACCAACGGTTGCTCAACGTGGCCACCCTCAGGATGGCCCACCTTCCCACAGCCAACTGGAAACCCTATGAGCCTGTTGAAAGAAAAGTTAATAAAGGGTTTTTATTCACATCCCACAATGCTTCTCCTAGTGCTGTTCACAATGGGGGCCTGAATTCCCGAGAGACTCCAGGCAAGTAGGGGTAGTGTGGACAAATGAAAACCTCCTATTTCATCAGGAGAGTTGGGCTGTTGGATAATTGTAACTGATTGCTCATCCTTGACTAGACGTAGTTCTTCCTAGTAACTGTATTGAATTTATTTTCATTCATTTATATCTACCAATGTTTGGTTTGGTTTGAAGAGCCATGTAGAGCTTTCCCATCCAGGGCGTAACGCACCCTCTGACCCATTGGCCTGTTGTGATTTCAGTACAGAATGGCCTGAAGCATGTAGATGGAGCCCTGGAGCAACAAGATGGGACAGCTCTCTACAACGCCCTGAAGTCACCAGCCTTAGGCCTGCGAGATGTGGAGTTGGACAACTGCGACTGGTACCTCAAGCAGCTCTCCTGTGACAAACAGCTGAAAGCCCAGGTAACAAATCAGGATATCTGGCAAAAAAAGATGGAGTGATAAAGTGAGGTGTTATTACAAACTGAAATATCTTGCTTGACAAGATAGTGAAATCACTTTTAACAGTAACTTTGAAAAGGGAATTGGACATTAACTTGAAGGAGAAAAGTTTCCAGGACGATTGGGTAAAGACAGGGGGAGTCGGACCCTTCCGAGAGATAGCACAGGCCATGAATGATGTTCTGAGGAAGGGTCACCGGACCCGAAACGTTAACTCTGTTTTTTCCTTCACAGATGCTGCCAGACCTGCTGAGCTTTTCCAGCAACTTCTGTTTTTGTTCATGAATGATAGAATGTCACTCTGTGTTATAAATATACAGGAAGGCCAAGAGGCTACGCACTGCAACTGAGATTGCTACATTTGTCAACAGATCTCTGGCAGTGTTAGAGTGACAGGGCACAAGGATGGATATTACTTTGAAATATGTTAAAGAGCTATCCATAGCTTGTTACATGTTGCTAATCTCTGTTCTCCCTTAAATCCCCATCACCTTCCACCAATCAGGAGCAGGGCTCAAAGGAGCCTCTGACGAAGGAGGAGTTACAGTTCGGAGTTGACCAAGCCAACCAAGATGGTCATCGGTTCAGGAGAAGTGAGTAAATGCCATCTCCTTGCCCTCTGGTCAGGTTTGGTGCCCGGATGTGGGTTCAGTTGCAGTATTACTCACACTACCTGCCAGATTGGAGAAAATAAACTGGAGGAAAACATTTGTAGTTCAGTCACTCTCTTTAATCCTGAATTTTACTGGCTACTTTTGTTTTTATTCATGCATGTTGACATTGACAGGACCAGCATTCCTTGCCAATCCCTAATTGCCGTGTAGAAAGTGGTGACGAGCTGCTGCTATCTATATTGCTGATGTACACCCTCAGTATTATTAACGGGAATCACCTACGTGAAAGGAATGTACATTTAAAAATTACAGATAATATCTCTGGACAAGTCTAAAAGCATTTCAATGCAATAGCCATTTTATGATCAGCGAGTTCCTCAAAACAATGTTTAATCATTTCTGGTGTCTGAGGGAAGTAGGTCAAGCAAAACACAAGGACAGTTTCCTGCCTTTCTTCAATCTGTGTCTTTATAAGCCAAAAACATCTAGATGAGCCTCAGCTGACGATCTAATCCAACACACAAGCAGTGTCAATATCCTCTACAAATGTTTGATGGGGACAGTGTAGAGAGAGCTTTACTTGGTATCGAACCCTGTGCTGTCCCTGTCCTGGGAGTGTTTGATGGGGCATAGTGTAGAGGGAGTTTTACTCTGTATCTAACCCCGTGCTGTCCCTGTCCTGCGAGTGTTTGATGGAGATGTGCTCTACCTGAAATTGGAATTCTTCTGTTTACGAAAGCAACTTCGACATTAGTTTCTATACATTTGGGACTTTGTAGACCCTGGAATGACCATAATTCAGGATCCATAAACCCATCAGATAAAGAGCAGAATTAGGCCATTCAGTCTATTTGAGTCTGCTCCCCCTTTCGATCATGACTGATATGTTTCTCAACTCCATTCCCCTGCCTTGCACACCCCCATCCCGTAACCCTTGATCCCCTTACTCATTCGGAATGGAATTTAATTGAATCTCTTGTTTCAGTGCTGGAGGCTATATCTCGAATCAATGCAGCGATCCGTAAAGGTGTAGCAGAGGATACAGTGACGGAGCTGATGAACCGTGATGCCCAGTTACCAGAGGCGTACCCTTTTGCTGCTGAGCTGTATCAGCAGGAGCTCTCCACCCTGCAACAGCAAAGCCACCAGGTGGGTCATCGTGAGCCAGAAACCAAGGCTGTATCATCAGGGTCTGGTTGAAGGCAGTTACCGGAATGATAGAATCCGTACAGTATGGAAGCAGCCCATTTGACCATCGAATCTATCGAGAACCCTCCAAAGAGCATCCACCCAGATCCACCCACCCCCAACCCTATTCCCACAACCATGTATTTCCCATGGCCAATCCACCCTACCCTGCACATCTTTGGACTGTGGGAGGAAACCGGAGCACCTGGAGGAAACCCACGCTGCTGAAACATTCAGGTCCTCAGCCGTCCTCAGTTAATACTTTTTGTTTATTCCCTGCACTAACATTGAAAACATCAATAAATATCAGAAACATCATTCCAGGAATTTTAAACTCCAAGTGTGGATATCCTCTGAGAGTTTCTTACATTTTGTTTTTAATGGCATTAAAGTTTTGGGCATCACTGGCCAGGCATTTATTGCCCATTCCTAGTTGCCCAGAGTCAACCACATTGCAGTGAGTCAAGTATCTAGGTCAGACCAGGTAAAGATGGCAGATTCCTGATGTTTCTTACAACAGGCAACAGTGGTTACACTAGCTTTTGATTTCATATTTCTGTGACTTCAGGTTTCACCACCTGCCCTGGTGGGATTCGAACCCACATCCCCGGAACATTAGCCTGAGCCTCTAGATTACAAGTCCAGTGGCATAACCACTGCATCCCATCTTCATCTTGCTCTCTCTTTTACCATATTGTCATTTAATCATCCGCTTTTCACTTCAAACAAAATTAACTTTGTTCAAAATCCTCTCAAGGTCAAGGAATGCTTTCACTGAACCTTTTCTCAGGGATTCAATGGGTAGGTAGTGTCAGTGATGGGGGGGAGTGTACACAGGGCAGTGGGAGGGGGATTAAATGGGTGGGTAGGGTCAGTGATGGGGGGGGAGTGTACACAGGGCAGTGGGAGGGGGATTAAATGGGTGGGTAGTGTCAGTGATGGGGGAGTGTACACGGGGCTGTGGGAGGGGGATTAAATGGGTGGGTA